TTAGGCCCAAAGAATGGTAGGAGTAAGATAACCAGTATCTAGTTCCCATACTTGTTGTTGTTGTTATTGTTGTTGAGTTAACAACAAAGCTGACCTTGTGCCTGAATAAGAAATAGGATCCATGGATTAAAATGAAGTTATTCATTTACTTTATCTCTTGACTGGAACCTAAAATGGAATTCCATGTGAGCAGAATCCCCAAGTGGACATTGGCTAAGAGGAAGATTATATATTTGTTATTATGAGGGCGCTGTTTAATTCAGCTTCTGCCTAATTAATTGATTCATTCAATCAATCAATCATTTGAATCTTACATGCATTGAATGGGATGAAAAAATACCTCATTTTTCCTATTCTAAGACTAACTCTGGAGTCAGAATATCACAACAAATTGCCAGTCAGTGATCTCTTAAATTGATCTGTGCTCAGCAGTTAAATAATAAGGTATATGGAACTGCTTTATACTGACATAGATTATTGGTCAATCTAATTTGATCAAAATCCTTTAACTTCATTTATAACTCAACACTATTTCATTGTTAAATTCTCACCTTTCATTTTAAGGTCTTATTTGTGCCAAACATGTTTGTGCTCTGTCACAAAAGTATATTATTTTCTCATTGTATAGGGAGCATAGTATTTTAAATATATTATACTGTTTTTCTTGGAGAAACTAAGGCAAAAAATGTAGCCATTGTGGTATTATATGGCAATCACAAATATAACTGTAAAGAAACTAAATTCATTAATTTTTGAAAATTACTGGATTAGCCAAAATAAATTATCCACATTATTCTTAAGATTTAAATGGTAAAAGCTCAAAAGTCGTTCATGCTCATTTTTTAAGTACAACCCTCTCCAAACCATAACCACTCTTCCTTATGAATTCTAAGTTTTAATGGGAAATATAAACAAAACATTAAATTATCTCTTGGAATTTTAAGGAGATCAATAGAAATGCAGTTATTACTGAGTTTTCTTCCACTACTTTAATCCTGATGATAGTTTTCAGATCAGAAACTAGAATTAGTTGTCTTTTTTTCCAGTGGGATTATTCCATTGATTATATGACTTCTAGCTCTACACAACATATGAAGCATTCTGAATGATTTGTGCACAAGTGAGACTACAGAAACATTATTTCAAGAACTTTTCTTATAATTATGGCATTGTTTGAAAAAGTCTACTTTTGTTAATTCCTCTCAAAATGATTAAAGGTAAATATGACCACAAGAGGGCACACACACACAAAAGAAGATTTATGTGAACAACAGGCAAAAGACAATATGTGATTATGCCCAGTGCTTTTTCATTCAATATTCATTCAGAAAACTTGTGGATCTACATTATTATAGATGGCATGATCTCAGGATGCTGAAAAAAAACCCCTTAGATAAAAACCTATTGATCATGTGTCCTGATCCAAACATTTGCATTTACATAGTCTTACTTATAAGAGGTGGCATTAGATGAATTCCTGCAACCTTCCTTCTGAGTATTATAGAATCATTTGTGTACAGGCAGTCCTTGACTGTATCGGACTCTGGACTTTCCATGAAGATATGACAGTTGCAAATTGAGGCATCCATGTAACTGACCTGATTGTACAACCTTTTTTGTAGTAGTTAATTGAATGACATGGTCATAAAGTGAGTGCGGAGGTCATTAAGCAAGTCAATGCATTCCTATGGGTGTTTTTTTTTTTGGCTGGAAACTGACCCAAAAGGCGAGTTTATGGCAAAAAAAGTGTCATAATTGCATCTGGTCATTCAGCAAGGATTACCTGTACTTTCTAAACAATCAGCTGTTCAGTTACATTGCTCTGTTTTAATTGACATGGCAACTTTTAATTAGATGTGTTCATATGTGTGAATTATAATACAATATAATATAATGTCATGTAATTAAATATAGTTAATATATTTTTACAAAATACAGGTAGTCCTTGCTTAACAAGTGCAATTGTCAACTCTGTTGCTAAGTGATGCAGCTATTAAGTGACACATTACATGACCACCCGTCATGTCAGTTAATGTCAGTTAATCATTAAGCAAACCACCATGGTCATTAAGTGCAATGTTACATCACCATGACTTGCAGGTTTTGCTGGCTTCCCCATTGAGTTTGCTTGTTAGAAGCCAACTGTGAAGGTCTTAAATGGTGATCATGGGATCGTTGTAAATGCGCACCAGTTGGCAAACACCCAAATTGTGATCACATGACCCTGGGTGTGTGTGCTGCCATGGCCATAAGATCAAGAACTGGTCATAAATCTACATTTTCAGTGCTGTCGTAAGTTTGAATGGTTGCTGAACAAAGCAGATGTCAACCAAGGATTACCTTTTGTCTTTTTCATAGACATAAACACATATTAGACTAAAAATTTTATATGAAACCATATAAAATTATAAAAATTAAAACATAATTAGAGAGCAACAGCAAACAACTTAAATCATAGAATCATAGGGGTGGAAGGGATCTTGGAGATCATATAGTCCAGCCCTCAGCCCAAGGCAGGCGATCTTATTGCATCCCAGACAAATGGCTCCCCCAATCTTTTCTTGAAGACCTTCAGCAGTGGAACACCCACTTCCAGAGATGGAGGCAAGAGATGTAATTAATCAGTTCCATTGATTAATTGTTCTTACTGTCAGGAAATTCCTCTTTAATTCCAGATTGGATCTCTCTTTAATAAGCTTCCCCCCATTACTTCTTGTCCTGCCCTAAGTTGCTTTGGAGAACTATGATAGCCTCTCAAGACTGGAAGACATGGATCATGTCACTCCTAATTCTTCTCTTCATTAGGCTAGACATGTCTAGTTCCCTTTACCGTTCATCATATGGTTTAGCCTCCAGCCTCCCTGTCACACTTTTTTGTTCTTCTCTGTACTGTCTCAGCATCTTTTTCTTTTTTTGCATTGTGGCAATCAAAACTGGATACAGTATTCCAAGTATGGCCTCACTTGTGCAGTACAGAGCGGTACTGTCACTTGTGATATTGATTCTATCCTTCTGTTAATGTAGCCTAGGATTGCATTAGCATTTTTTTTTTTTTTTTTTTTGCAGCTGCAGCACATTGCTGGCTCATGCTTAAGTGGTCACTCTCAATATTACTATGGAGCCAGGTACTGCCTATCCTGTACCTGTGCATTTGCTTTTTCCTGCCTAAGACCTTGCTTTTCTCATCAGTGAACTGCATCTTGTTGAAAAGGCCTAATGCTCCCCTTCTATCCCCTCATCTAAATCATTTATGAAGTTTTTGAAGAGCACTGGGACTAAGTTAGAACCTTGTTCCATCTAATTAAGAAATAGGCTATGGTCTAATTTATCAAATGCGGTACTGAAGACCAAGTAAATTATATCCACATGGATATAGTTAACATAGATAAGAGCCATGGTGGTGCAGTGGTTACAATGCAGTGAGGCTAACTCACTGCTCACTCCAGGAATTCAATTCTGAGTGGCTCAAGGTTGACTTAGACTTCAATTCCTTCTGAGGTCGGTAAAATGAGGACCCAGATTGTTGGGGGCAATACGCTGACTCTGTAAACCGTTTGGAGAGGGCTGTGAAGCGGTATGTAAGTTAAAAGTGCTATTGCTATTGCTATTTCCCTGATCCACTAATTTAGTCACTTTATCAAAGAAGACAATAAAGTTTGCCTGATGTAGTCTTTTTTAACACACCCATATTGGCTTCTGGTCATTTCTAGATGCTCACAAATCTTCTGCTTGGTTTTCTTTTCCAAGATATTGATGTTAAGCTGATTTGTCTGTAATTTCTTAGATCTACTTTTTTCCTCTGCTTGAAGATTGGAATTACATCAGCTCCTCTGGCAGTTCCCTCTTAACAATCCTCAGTTGCATGCGATTCTCTGTGAATTAACTGAGGTAATTATTCAGTTCATTAACTGAGTTGATTTGAATTAAAATGTATTTTAACATGTACATTACATCTAATTTTAGGTTAAAAGAATAACATCCATTAGTTTCTCACTGCCTAGAGATCAGTTGCATATAGACACATAGAAAATTATCTGTTTCTTTCTCTGAAATACCTTATGCTTTACAAATCAGTTACATTTGATTTGCACTTACATTCTTTGCTTTTCTTGATGTTATGAACACAGTGGTGAAATCTAAAGAAAACCTAATAGCTCAATTCCAGTAGTTAGAGTAGTTACAAACTATTCTTGGAACTTCTGTGTATTTTACTTAGGTTATGTACGTGTGAGGAATACACACAAATGCAAAAGGCTTATATTGTTAACATGCAGCCATGCCAAATGGGGTTGCTATTTCTTTGCAACCATTATCCAGTGACATTTCCATTCCTTTAAGTGCATCAGATCCTTCTCTTTCTTCATTCCCATAGAATCAAAAAAACCCAAATGAGCCTTTTTTAAAACCATAAATCCTATGTCCTAGTGATTTCACTCATCTTTACTTCATTATAAGTCTATTTTAACCTAGTTTTCTAGTGAAATCAATGAAAAAACCTTGAAGAATTGAAATGAATGTGATTTGATGCTGAAACCCTGAGCTTCAGTGAGTACAATGAGTTTCCCAATTCATCCTAGGCAGTGCTCTCATGAAAATCCAGTTTCTTAAATTGTTATAATAAATTGCCTTAAACTTAAGCTTCTATTTGCACCTATGGATATGATTCATGGAAGCAGAAAAGTTCCATATAAGCACCATCATCTTATTATAGGAATAATAACATTTTAAAAACATTTTTGGTAGCTTTCCATTTGTAATGCTCTTACAGCTGCAGAACTAATGATGCTTGATGTTTTTGCATAGTATACAGTCTTCTTTTTACAGACACAGCTAAAAATACACCTGACAACAATGCAGTCATTATGGATTACCAACTTAATGGTGGATTTGCATACTCAGACCTTGACTCCTGCTGAACTCATGAATTGTTTCAATGAAAAGCTTGCTGTTTGAGATAATGAGACATCATAGACATCCACTGAAGAAAAACAAAAAACAAATTGCACATATAGCAATTTTAATCCATTCCATTTTAAATACCACAATAAATTTAATTTTCACAATAAATTAAATAGCCATATTTAGTTTACAAAATAGAATTACTTAGTGTGAAACCAGTATTTACAAACAATATACAATATGTACATCAAATTTTTGTCAACATACAAGCATAGAAGGGAGAAAAAAGACTTCTGTTTTGACACATGATTGACATGCTCTAAGTGCCAAGATGATCCATACAATTAAAAACAATAGTGCAAACTCACCACAGGAAATTTGAAACTATGTTGATTGCATGAGAAAGTTTTTTTTCAACACTAGGAAAATATTTTTCAAAAGAACTTAGCATCATATAGGGTATAATCATACAGCAGACTTATACTGGCTTTTCATCCATTTAATTGGCATAATTTCCCCCACCCCAATTCATGGAAGTAGTGAGAATTATTCATAAAAATGTTATTAGCCTCTTCTTGTTACCAAAATAGAGGTTTCCTAGGGAGCAGTGATAAGCCGATATAAGCCTGCAGCATAAATGTATTCTTTTTAAAGGGCCAATATTCTTTTAGAAATATGTTATAATAGAAATATAATATTTCTAAACAATATTTAGAAATACAATATTGCACTGCAGATTTTTCAAAAATGAATTCTAATTGCAGTCAATTAGAATCACAATGAATTTTAAAGCAATATTCTGCCCTCTCTCCAGCTACGTTTAATATTAAATTTTATGGAGCAAACAGAGTGCTGACCCTTTGAACTGAGTAGCTGAGTTAATTTCTTTAAATGACATTTTCTCATTTAATTGTACAGCATAAAATGATGCAATTATGCAGAGAGTAAATTTCATGTTACGCATGTTCTGTAGAAAAATTGATCCCATCTTATATTTGGTCACACACTGCATATGTACAAGTACGCATGAAAAAAAGATTACTTTGATAACAGAGTATGAAAAGTGCATATTTTTTATATACTCTACTAGAGATATGGTTGCATATCTCCAGGTGCAACACACAGTGTTGTAGGAAGTTTGTCTTAGGGCCAGTTAAATGTCCTCCCTGTGATCTGGTAAAATTTCTGATTGAAAGGGTGAAAGAACTTGCGCAATTTGGTAATGACAGAGGCATCTACCTCTGGATGAATGCGTCCTTTGCTTCCCGCCAGGCACTTGTTAAAGACAATGTTAAATCTCAAGCAGTAAAACCCTCTGGTGGCATTGAAATACAAATTATATTGACTTATCCTTGGAGGAAGATTTAAGAACTTTTCTACCAGCTGGAGTTCTGGCAGCGGTTCTGTAATGAGACGATCGCCATCAACAATATGAAACTGCTCTACGGGAAAGTATTTTAACCATCTCTCCAGATGCTTGGTGTAGATGCTGGTTCTTACTGCCTTGTATTTAGTGTTCACCTCACAGGTGTTAGGATCAATGGCCAACTTTTCAAATTTGTAATAGGTTTTATTCTTCCTTTCCTTTCCCTCCAGCACCTGAGTGTAATCAGAAATAGCTCTTGTTGTGGGTTCCCTGACAATGATCAGTAATTTGATGGATGAGTTCATTTTATAAATCCTTTCAGGGACTTCCTCTGTGATAAAGTATGCAGGGCTTTTCTCAATGGTTATTTGATGAGGATATGAAAATGGCATTTTTTTCCTATACCACTCAATGCCCTTGGCATAGTTCTCATCATTGTCAAAGAAGTGTATTTCTTGAGAGGCTTTGACCACTGCTGGATGAAGATTTAGCATTTCTAGTAGTGCTCGAGTTCCTCCTTTCCTCACTCCAATTATTATGGCCTTGGGGATTTGCTGGACCAAACTGTGAAGTCGAATTTGCTCTTTGCTGGCATTACCCTTTCGGAATTCATGCAACAATCCACGCTTAAACTGTAGAGCTCTGAGTGGGATTTCATCTTGTCCATGGAGTCCAAATCGGCCTTCAATAGGGCAAATGGGTTGCAGTCTGCAATTGGAAAAATAAAAGGAGAAATAGTAATTTGCATTATTAACACTGAAATTTTATACCTGTCCAATCAGAAGCTCTATTCAGTTCACTAAAGTTAATGTCATATAACTGGGAATGGGCCATATAGCATTAACGTTAGAGTGGACATTGTGTTCTCTCTCTCTCTCTTTCCCTCCCTCCCTCCCTCCCTCTCCCTATCTCTCTCTTGTGTGTGTTTATTTATCTATCAATCCACATCAGATTAGCCTGGTAGATTAAGGTTCATCACCTACAACAAAGAGACCTTTATCCTGCAGTGGACAGATTTAGGATGGCAATAATAAGTAATGATATTAACAATAAATAATTAATCTATAATTTATGATGAATTTTGAGATGATTCACATAGTCCTATTAATAAGGCAAGATACTGATATCTATTTTCATGGCAGGAATAGACAATACACAATTTGTCTCTCACTTATAAATTAGCACCCCCCCCCCCAAAAAAAAAAAATATGTGCTTGTTTTATTCTCAGAAAGTTCCACACTGATCCACTCTTTATTTTCAGTTACATTTTGGAAGATGAGCATATTTTTGACACTCATATATGTTAACAACATTCTGAAAAGTTGGCAGTATAATACCTATATCTATCTATATTTATCTCTCTCCCTCTCCCTCCCTCTCCCCCTCCCTGCCTGCCTCCCTGTACTTTATAAGACAAGTGTGCACAGATTCAATTCTGCAAGTTTGCCTTGGATGTCCCCTTATTTAATTTGGAACAATTCAAGCCTACTTTCTGAACCTGAATTTAAGCCTATCAAATTTCCCTTAAATTTCCAAAACAGAATTAGAATTTTCAAGTACAGCAACTTTTATTTAAGTTTTGATTTTTTTTTTAAAAAAATTATGCTTGAATTTTGATTCCTTCAGGATAAACTTGGATAAAATTTGCAGATGTATTTCAGTGGTGAATGACATGTCATACTTCAGACACACTGACAAAAGTATTTTATAAAAAAGGAAAGAACATTGTAGGGAAAAATGATTCTCCTTCAGAAATCTGAATGCAATAGAACTGATTTGGGGGAATGTTGAGATGGACATTTAAAAATTCACTACTGATTAAACTACTACTACCGTGTTTCCCTGAAAGTAAGTCCCACCCCCAAAATAAGCCCTACCTTGATTTTGGGGGTGGGCCTAATATAAGCCTTACCCCCCAAATAAGCCCTAGTTTTGGGGCAAGGCACACACTTAAAAAATCAAGCTAGGGTGGGGGGGGTGGATCTGCCCCACACTCCCTGCACCCACTTACCTTGCAGCCAGGCCTCTCCTCACTGGCCCACTTCTTCTGAGGTGTCTTCTGCAGCCAGACCTGCATTTCTCAGTCATACCAAAGCTTGGTTCTGCAAGACCTCTGCAGCCAAAGACCGAGCTATGGATCGAATCCATAGCTAAGTACTCGGCTGCATAGGTCTTCCGGAAAGGCCTGACTGCAAAATGCAGGCCGGAATGCAGCTGCAAAATGAAGCTGCTCCTTTGGCCCCAGAAGAAGTGGACTGGCTGGACGGGGCTGTCAGTGCCAGAGTTGAGTAAGACATCCCCTGAAAATAAGATCTGGTGTCTCTTTTGGAGGCAAAAAAAAAAAAAAGACCCGGTCTTATTTTCAGGGAAACACGGGTAAATTATTTGCTTATAAAGAACTGAATACATTTTTAAATAATTAATACAATTTTAGAAAGCAATAACCTAGTAATTAGAATGTAGTAATATCTATTCATATTGTAGCAAATCATTATAGTCACTGTGATTTTGCTGGTCCTGGTATACTGATCACTTGGATCACTGCATTGAAGGAAGAGCTGACCATCAATAAAATCTAGTAATTTCCATTGGTCCCTTTCCATTCCCCTACCCACCATGGCATAAAATGAAAGCTACCCTACTTCTCCACCCCATATTAAAGGGGCAAGCAAGCAAGTTGATTAGTATAATCAAAGATGTAGCTCAAGGCTGGAACCTTGCTGAAATTCTGAACTGGACCAGAGCCAATTCAAGGTAGTCCGAGGTTCCTTCTCATGATAGCAGATTCAGTTCAAATCATCTCACTTTTTTCCGCTTCAGTTTAATCAAATCTAATCAAAACTCCTAGAGGTAATCCTTCTGATCATAACTGGGATCTGAATTTCTACTGTTAATCAAGGCAGTTATTAAGTGAGTCATACCTGATTTTACAAAAAATTTTTTGCTTGTTGTTAAGTGAATCACTGCAGTTGTTATTCAGCTTTTTCTACTGATTTTGCTTGTTGGAAGCAAAATAGGAAGGTTGCAAATGGTAATCACACGATCCCAGGATGCTGCAACCTTTGTAAATTCAGCTGACACTCAAGCCCCTGAATTTTGATTGTGCAACTGCGGGTATGCTATGATGCTCATGAGTCACTTATTTCAGTGTTGTTGCAACTCTGAATAGTCACTAAATGAATGGCTGTAAATTGAGATGTAGCTGTTTCTTACAAAGGAAATTATACCTGCTAATTGTACAATGAATTGAAAATACAATAAAGGTCATTATTATGCCTACGTTGATAATTGATAGTCAGCTGGTGGATCAGAAATTTTTGGCAGAATAGATTGCTCTGCAACTCCTTGCACATCTGCATAATGCTCAAAAGGATTAGGGATCATCCAGAACAAATTTAAGGGAGGCACAGATAGTGCACAATTATTTCTGTGTATTAAATACAGCACTGTGGTGAAACAACTACATGCATCTGCATTTTTACATATCAGTGTATATTACTATAAGCATATTTTTTTTAAAAAAAGAAGCAAATAGCTCTTGCTGGGATAATTATTTTTACTTAATCTTGGAAAACTGTTTCAAAATCAGCAGCTATCCAACAAATACTAGCTAAAAACCAATCTACATATAGGTTTTAAATTATGTGCAAACTATTGAGATGATGAATAAAAAGAAACTGCAATCCAGATCAAATTGCACTGCAGGTATAAAATAAATTTCACTTTAACTCCTTGTGCTTTTTCTTCTTGAAAATATTACCCTTGAAGCTGTACCTACTATCCCATTTCTTATATGAAGTATTTTTGCTGTTTGGGCAAAAAGGCATTTTTAAAGAAAAAAAGGTTAATTATCCCTCTCTATGTTTCAACCTTAGTAGTAGGTGTTGCCTGGAAATGCATCCATTCAGAAGAACTGTAATAACGTTTTACACGCACTATTTTTTAAAAATGTGGTACTATAAAGTGTATTATGTAGTCTAATCCTAAAACAAATGTTGATGACTTGAGAACTAACTTCATTGCAAGGCACAAGTTTTTCACAACTTAATATCCTGGGAGGAAAACATTGTATTTTCTAGAATTGTAATGTCTTTTTACCTTGGAAAATTATTTTGCTTTCTGCACAAGAATATATTCCTCTCCCCACCATCATATTTAGGATACAACTGAATTAGATTTTTTTTTAAAGGAGCTAATGAGCTTGTTAACCAGGAAACCCACACACATGACACATAAATAAATCATACTAGGATACTAAATAAAACAGTTAATATAAATTGTAAGATACAAGCAACAAAGTTATAGTCATAAGAAGATAAGGAAATAGGTAATAGGAAAAATGAGAAGGATAATAGTAATACAACCCTACTAGGTAGTTTGACAATGTTGTGGGGATTAGTTGTTTAGCAGAGTGATGGCATGGGGGAAAAAAAATTGTCCTGGGAGTTGAAGTCCACATGGCTTAAAATTGTCAAGGTTGAGAAACACTGGTCTAGTTGTTCTGGCATGCAATGTCCTTTAGTGTCATGTTGAGGAAAGAAGTTGAAACAGTTTATGTCCAGGATGTGAGGGGTGTGTAAATATTTTCATAGCCCTCTTTCTGGCTTGTGCAGTATACAGGTCCTCAAGGGAAGGCAGGCTGGTAGCAATTGTTTTCTCTGCAGTTCTAACTATTCATTGAAGTCTATGTCTGACTTGTTTGGTTCCAGTGCCAAATCAGACAGTTATAGAGGTGCAAATGACAGACTCAATAATTCCTTTGTAGAACTGTATCAGCAGCTTTTGGGACAGTCTGAGCTTTGTGAGTTGGCATAGGAAGAACATTTTTTGTTGTGCTTTTGTGATCACATTTTTGATGTTAGGTGTCCATTTTAAGTTTTGCGATATTATAGAACCTAGAAACTTGAAGGTTTCTACTGTTGATACTGTGTGGTACGGAATTGTAAGAGATGGTAGAATAGGAGGGCTTAAACTAAAAGCTATTAAGCTAAAACCTACTATCATTTCTACAGTTTTGACTGTGTTCAGTTCAAGATTGTTCTGGCCACACCACAAGGCTAGTTGTTGAACTTCCTGTATGTATGCAGATAAATCACAATTGTATCATCTACAAACTTCAGTACTTTAACAGAGGGATCCTTTGAGATGCAGTCACTGGTATAGAGCGAGGAGTGAAGAGAGCACACAGCCCTGGGGCTGCTCTGTGCTAATTATAGAGGTATCTGATGTGATTTTGCCTAGCTTCACCTGCTGCTTCCTGTCTGTTAGAAAGCTTATGATCCACTTACTAGCGTGGTCAGGCACGGCTAGCTGAATCAGTTTAGTTAGAAGAATATCTGGAATGATAGTATTGAATGCCGAGTTGAAGCCTATAAAAAGGACTCTTGCATAAGTCTTTGGAGATTCAAGATGTAGGATGTAGTGCAGAGCCATATTAACAGCATCATCTGCTGATCTTTTTGCTCAGTAGGCAAATTGCAAGGGGTCTAACAGTGGATCCATGATGGTTTTCAGGTGGGCCAGCATTAACCTTTCAAGGGTTTTCATAACTACGGATGTCAGAGCAACTGGTCTGTAGTTGTTCAGCTCCTTGATGGAGGGTTTCTTTGACACTGGGATGATAGAGCGTTTGAAGCAAGAAGGAACATAACACATCTCTAGTGATTTATGAAAGATGCGGGTGAAGATGGGGGCCAGTTGGTCAGCA